CATGTATGTGCAGCCGATTACACGTACCGGTACACATGTATCGAGGTACATGTACATGCACAAACATGTACACGAGCAGGCATTCACCGCGTTAAGGGGACAATTTCTTTTGTTAGGCAAATTTGGACCAAGTTGTGGGAACATTTCTATGTCCCCATAACGTTTTTTGGCCCCAACAAAAGAAGTGAAATATCAAGTGCACAACTACAGAACAAGAATGGGTGTACACCCCAAACTAACAGTGTGTGATACAATAAACTTTACTGCATTTACCAGTGTATGAACTGGTACATATATAATTACATCACCTCCCTAAATCTGCTCAAAATCGAATGCCATGTAAAAAAGAAAAGGCAGAATCTGCCACATGCAGCTTCAAACAGAAACTGGGCCATCAGTTAAGACATCCACATTAATTTATTTCATGGCTACATGGGTTTACATGTACTGTACATGTGTACTACCCGGTATGTACCCGTAATTCTGAATACTGAATCCCAAAACTGGCTAATGGGTTGTGATGTACATGTATTTAGGGTAGCGTGAGCCCTATATCACTTATTATTTTTGCTATATTTTCACAGTGCAGTGTGCACCAAATTAACGGCTCCTTTTTTCAAATAACAATCCCTCTTTGTACTAGTAGTGTACACGTATATGTAAATGATGTGCATGCTCTTGAATGAATAACAATGATGGGGGTTTATAAAATTAAGGGCATTTTATTTTATTAATATGGCGCTGAAATTATGATTGTCTACAGATAAACCTATGTTCCAGTAGGCATATGGGCATACATGTACATACATGTGTACATGTACCGGTATGCCCATCAACATCATGACAGTCAGCCCATGAAGATTACTGCATGTACCGGTACGGTACAAAGGACAAGTGTAAGGAAGCCCTGCTCAGAGCTGCCATTAGCATCTGTTGCAACCAAAATGGTGGTTCCTCAGAGTGAAACTGATGCCATTCTCTCTATACACAGCTCTGATAATCCTCATCCCCCTGTGACTGACTGAAGCTGCAGCTGTTCTCTCTTGAGGACGACTGCTCTTCACCAACACCTAATTGTACGCTGATATTATGGTACTGGGGCACAACGCAGGCTTCAATAATTTCTGGGATTCCCGGCAGTTTTATTGGGCCCTAGGGAGTGAGCGTTTAATCAAACATTCTATCTCAGTAATCGTGACTGATGCCCACAGTGTGCTCTACTCCCAGAAATGCCAATTTAATTGCGTATTTCATCTTAATAATAGATTTACCAGTAGCATGTGGGCAGCTTCTAGCCAGTGTTCACTGGTACCCGTATATTGTGGGGGGGTTTTAACATGTGCACAGAAAATTATGTATTAGTCATGTTACAGTACTAATGAGTACCAACGGACCACATGCTGGTGCAAGTACATGTGAACATGTACTTGTACAGTGTACATGTGAACATGTACTTGTACAGTGTACATGTACATGTACAGCCTATGCAATCTATAGTGTGTTAATTCCGTTGTTATCAGTGAGATCACTGTCATACATTTGTACAAACATACAAAATAAAACACACAAAACAATGACTATTTGCTGGTAACTGTCAAGTACAGATTTGCAGTGAACAACTTTCATTGTATTGCATAGCATGTACATATATCTCAAAATTGCCACCATTTACAGGTAAATTGCATCTCATTCTTTAACTTGTTATGGTACTTTCAAACTTTCATGAATTGACACAATTACAAAAAGTGTCGTGTTACTAGAACATACATGTACATTGTACACATCAGTAGTACAGTATATTTTATGTACATGTACACACTGTACCAGTACATAAAAGTATACATGTACATGTACATTACAGCATTGGTACTTATGTACATATACACATGTACATATAAGATTGTACTACTGGTGCTGGCGGTGGAGTAGCCATTTTTTGTAATGAAATTGTTCAAGGATATGAATTGATGTACATGCGTCTATTTCAGGATAGACACTGGCCTATTCCTTTTTTTGTGGCTTTGCAGATCCTGGGGTTCAATATGTGGGGAAACAAACGTTTCCTCTTTCTTCTAGCACTGTCTGAGCATTTTGTACTGTGACCTACATTGTACATTACCGGTACAAGTATACCGTACATGTACATTGTACAAATGCACAAAGGACACATTGCACATGGGTCTTTTCACCACAGAGCCCGCCAAAAAACTTGTGGGAAAAAAATCAAGGTTAGACAAGTGACCTACCAGTTATACTTGTACTTCCGAAGTACAATGGGACATGGGGTTGGGTTTGTAAAGAAGTGCGTGCTGACTGAACAGGTGTATTGTGCTGAACACACGGCATGCAGGGTTTTTTTTAATAAAACCGACAGAAAACCCATGTTTGCATTCCTGTAAATTTCTAAAGCATCTGTTCATACAATCGTTTCATTTTGAACACGAACCGGTAGTCTGCCAACACGTGGGATTTAAACGCATTTGTCATTGCATTATTGTCAGCATGTTGGACTGTCAGTGTGTATCCAGGCTTGTATGGACTCCACTCGAACAAACCTTTTACACAAAAAGAGGTGCTGACAGTGGGAATCAACAGATCTTTTGTTGCATCTGACACTTTTGTTATACATCAGCAAGTACACTTTTTTGTTTAAGTGCCTTAATTACACGCGCATGTATAATATGACAATACACTACATTAGCGGTACAAGAACATTACTCTTTTTTTCTTTCCAAAAATCGACATACCAGGTATTTACCCGGCACGACAAAGACACCAATTTGGGACTACACCGTAACACATTTTGTCAAAGATGATTACGTTCAAGATATACGGGTAAGGCAATTTTTTGTGGTCTGAGCATTCACACAGTGTACACTAGGTTTTCAAATGAACAAGTCAGACTCAAGGTGACTTTGGTGAATATTGGGCTTGACAAGCAAGGTTACAGTACTTGAACGTACATCGTTTCTCCTTCTCCATGGTCTAAGTACAATGTAGCATAATTATGGCAGCAAATGCCTTCAAGTCTTTGCACCCCATATAGCATTTCTATACTGTACGTATCCATTCCAGGAAATCTATTTCAAATTCCCACCTCAAAAGAAGGCAGTCCTGTGACCCAAAACCACCAACGTGACCAAGATGAACCAGAGAGAGTCTCCACTTGCAGAACACGTCACAGTTAAACCAGTATCCATTTTGCCAAGACACAAATCACAAGCTCTGTTCTCTTTTTCCCCCTCTTCTTGCTTCGTTTTGTCAGTAGACCAAATGAATCATCCAATACATTACACCTTATTACATCTGTACCGGTACATACAGAATACTCACTGCTGGCTGGACTCTTTAAAGCACGTTTAGATTTCAGAGAAAGGGGCTTGAGTTACTCTATTGTTGTGGTTCCACTATTAGTCTTTTTAAATGGGATACTGTGGGGCGCTTGCTGGGTCACCAGTGTAAACAAGGCAGGTGAGACCCAGGTGAACCATGAGTGAACCACAGAGGTCTACTATTCCCATGTGTACCAATACTGTGCACGTACATGTACATGTGTACACATGCACAGTGTCTAGCCAGAGAAATACAAATTCTTCAAGGAAAGCACCCTAAAACACATTGTGCACGTANGGGAGAACATGTCCCGTACAATATGATCTGAATACCTTTGCCCATTCATACATGTAGGCCTGCGCTACATGAGTAATTCTGAACAATGTACATGCCTGCCATTAGTTGAAGGGTTGTAACTGAACATTGTTCAAAACCAACTGTCCATAACATTCCAGAGATAAAGCATTAAAAAATACAAGCATTCCAACACACTGTAAATAATTTGCCAAGTGTTCTGTGTACCAGTAAGGTACAGTACAGGTGTGTATGATTACAAATAATATTGAACAACTCTTATCAGTACCCTTATTTCACACAAGTGCTCAGAAATGCTGTTCTAGAAGTGCTGTTCATCAGCGAAAGCCTGACCAATGACAGTGCTCAATAAAATTTGTTTTCAATTTGGTTCCAGTGCCTCTTAAACATGTTAAACACAAGGGTTGCATCAATACATGCATACACGCTAAAAAGTAACGGCAGAATGAAACAATCATTTACAGTCAGGTCAACTCTCAATAAACACGTACATGTACATGTAGCCAACTAAAATTTTGCTTTACATTGTAATGTTTTTGAGACTCAAGTCT